TTATGAAATCTTGTATCGAAGCATGAAATTCTAGAATCATTGTATATATTCATTCCAATTTTCATTTCTTTTGTCTAAACATTCTCAATTACGATACTTTTAATTTAATTTTTACCAATAGCAAACGAGTGAAGTATTCTATGTTTGAATGTTGCAGGTAACTATTTTAATAAATAACGCCGGTGTGGGGCACGGATTCAAATTCTTAGATGCGACGGACAAACTTCTTAAACGAACAATGGACGTGAACGTGATGAGTCACTTCTGGGTATATCTTCATCTCAAACCCATTACTTTTAATAGTTATTGTTCTTCAGCAATTTATTTCGATAACGAAAAACAAGAATCAAAGAATCGTTTCCTTTATTTTACAATAAACAATACACGGAGGAAATTTCAATATTTCTATCAATAGATCTAGGAATTTTTCAAATAAAACAACTGGAACAATTTCTCTTAACAAATTCCACATTAAATTCATCAGTTCAAACTCAGAAACGATTCTGCCTTTCGCGTTGTAAGTTCCAAGTGAAAGGCATTCTTATTGGTAGATTTGTACGACACGTGACATTCTCGCCAAATTTAATTTAATATTAAATTCTTCTGTATGAAATTATTATTCGAATACATGAAAAAGTAATTATTATTTAATAGCTATTACAGTTTTCGAATATAATCTTTAAAAATATTTTTTCTAGTCGAAACTTCAATAGTCTTTGAATAATGTTGCTCGTTGAAATGTATCTTATGTCTATATAAATAAGATTATTTCTTGTGAATCATTGAGACATTGGTTAATTAAAATTCTTAGACATCATTAACGAATTTTGAATAGATAGATGAAGATGGATTCAGAACATGAGTACAAATTATAACTTGTGCTATTATTATATTTATTTATCTTAATTACATATATAAATTAGAAAAATATAGTATTATATTGTAAAAATAGCTCAATATTTTAATATTTGATTTTAAGAGAAGTCAAAAAATATATTGAAATATATTATATTATTATATGATGTGTAAATTGCTGAAAATGATATATATTTTTTTGTATAATATTTTGAGTTTCAAGATTTAATCATTGAAAGATATTTGAATG